CCCCCCCGAGGAACATGAAAATGAGCTTAATTTTGAATCCGAGCTCTGTTCAAATGTTATGCATTGCTGCTATGTTGAGTTCCACCTTCCATTTTGAGATGTGTTAACTTCTCAGGAAAAGCTAGCACCCGATTTTCATGTGGATGTTCAACATTTCCCACCCTGCAGAACATGAAAATGAGCTTAATTTTGAAATCCGAAGTTATCACATCTCCAAATGGAAGGTCGAACTCAATTTAGCAGCAATGCATAAGTTTTGGAGAAGAGCTCGGATTTCAAAATTAAGCTCATTTTCATGTTCTGCGGGGTGGGAAACATTGAACATCCACGTGCTATTCGGAGGCTAGCTTTTTTTGAGCTCAAAAATGGAAGGTAGAACTGTTTAGCAGGGATTCATAACTTTTGAAGCAGAGCTCAAATTTCAAAATTAAGCTCATTTTCATGTTCTGCAGGGTGGGGAACATTGTAAATCCACTTGATTTTTGGATCTGAGCTTTTTTTGAAGTGTTATCCCAAGGCACATCTCAATACAGAAGGTAGAATTTTAGGTATTTAGAATTTTATTATGTACTTCATTTAAGCAGATTCTCCCAAGTTGTTTAAGGCAAAATTAAAGAAATAAAATCTGATTAAAAGCAGTATTTTAATTTTGAGGAAGTTATAACATTCATGACTTTAAAATATATTCTAGGTGTTTAGTCTATAAAGAATTTGATTCATAACAGAAAAATAACAGTAGAAAAGGCAATCCTAGTATCTGGAACTGGCATTGAGGAGGAATGCAAGATTAATATGTGGAGAACAATCTTGAAGAGATAAGCAAGGAGAAAAAACCAACTCCTTGAAAGTAAATTAAGTCCAAGGTCATCTTTGACCACACTGCTTCATGGAACCCATTTTATGTATTTTCTCTGGATACTGCATTTTCATCTAGGTTTTACTGCCGCCATGGACATATATTCAGTGTTGTTTTGATAAGTGTTGGCACATTGGCAAACCTGGAAAGAAAAAGGAGATGATGTGGGTTTCTGATTTTACTATGCACATTTAGAGTAAAAAAATAAAAATAAAAGGATTACTACCCCTGTTCACTTCCTGCTGGATGCTTTCCAAATGACTTCAGAGCTTGGCTGGATCCACTATTATTTATCAATTCTTTTGCAGCCAGTATTTTGCTGGTTTACAGTATTCTTTCTCCTTTTGCCCTAGTTCTAAAACTTCAGGTGACTAAAATAAACAAACAACTCCATCTTATGCAGTAAATGCTATCACTTGTGACTGAATTCCAATAGTAAATAAATGGCTTGGATTTATTCATCAAAGGAGTTTCCATTCCACATTCTGACACTGTATGTCTATGAATCTCATAAAATGGAAACTCTACTATATCTGGGAGAAACAAGTCTTGAAGAAAGCTGTGAAAACCACTTACCGCACTTCTAAAACACCCTATTAAGGAAAAGATGCAGGCAACAAATAAGAACACTACGAGTCCAATAAGTATCCATGATGTAACTTCCGATAGCCAGCAAGATTTTTCTGAATCTGGGAAAGAATCAAATTGGTGTTTATAATTAAGACTTGAGATTAACAGCCACTATTTATGAATTGTGTAGTATAGCCCAAAAACTTGGCCAATTTTACTTTTGAACTGGCTGGTGATCAGCTATGTCCATAAATACCTCTTGACATATGATTATAGACACAGGGAGGGAGAAGGGATGAAGCCAATAGAAATTAGCCAAGCTGCCAACCATCGTGTTATTGTGACTCAGAAATGAAGTTTGACTACAAGAATTACTGGTCTGCTACTTTTCCATCTTCAGCAGTGTATTTTGGTTTCTTATTAGATTTCTTTCCTGCTTTTTTTTAAAACAAGTTTTATTCAGTTTTCCACATTTTAACATCTCTTTTTAGAGAACAGCATGATTACAGGTTTCAAATATATATACAAATATGACCATAGTTACATATTCAATTTTTATATTTATTTTCTTATCTTAACAATGTACATTTTGTACATTGTTTGTACATTTTGTACTTTTGTATATTTTCTATTTTGTTATATTATTCCAAATGCTTATCATTATTTAATTCTCATATATTAACCATAATTATTATACTTTAGTACTTTTAACTGTCACATTTGTACCATCTTTTAAAGTTCTAATTAATAACACTCCTATAAATTGGTTTCCCCCCCCCTAAAATATCACTGTGTGCCAGCTCTGTTACATATTCATTAATTATCTTCCCTTTTAAATCCCATTAAAATACTTAACATTTTATTACCTAAAACATTAAAATTAATCCCCTTTAAGACTACATAACATATATAAATCAGATTCTGCATGGTTTCCCCCTTTTAATTTCATAAAGTTTATCTACAATTTCAAAAAGATTTAATCCTAAACCCTGATTTTAGTTCAATTTCAGCTCTTCTCCTATATCATTCCATTTTATCTCAGTATATTTCAATGTTCTGTCTCACCTGTGCCAAGAGGTAAGAAATCCAAGTTTCCAAAGGAATATAAACAAGCAGACAAGTCCAGTAATGACAGGGTTAAATTCTTTGAGCCAGGAAAGTTCTTGGCAGACTCACACAAGCTGTCTGCCAAGTCCGATAATAAAGCAAGAACATAAATCACGAGCTATCGCCACACACAAAATCTTTTGAAGCTTCTCTCACAAATTAACACGTTGTCCCGAACAAAAACCCAGAGCTAACACACCCACTTTTATTCCCTGTGGGGCGTGTCAGTCCCTCATCTCATTCTCTGATTTGTCCTTTCTTTCTGCGTTGCAACTCGCACTTTTTCCTGCGCCATTGCCTCGCATGAAGCCAGCATTCCTCAGCTTGATCTTCAGTCAGAGACTCTGATACGCTCTCCTGATTATCTGCCAACACCTGAGGCACAACCAGGGAGGAAGGTCTTGCTGAAGAGGAAAGTCCTGGGGAGAGGAAGGCAATTCCAAATCCTCTAACAAAGCAGGCTCAAACCTCAGAGCCAAATCCTCCTCTTCCTCATTATTCAAGTCTGTGTCCTCTAACAGAGCAGGCTCAAACCTCCGAGTCACAACACAATATATTCAATTAACATATTCTATTCTGTATTACAATTATCTCTATACATAAATGAAAGAGCATTAACAAAAAATAACAATTCTATTTTCCATCTTGTCAATCGATATTTCCTCATTTCAAAACTACAAATTTATTTATGTTACCCCCCAGCACCTTGCAGAATCCCCCTTCCAAGTATCATTCAGCCATTATTCCCCTATTTTTTTAGAATTCCCATATTTCTTGGTTCTCAAATCCTGTTTCTTTTCCCTTCCTTCCCCTAATATTTTCTCTTTTATTCTTTCAGTCCAGTTTTTAACCCCCTCTCTATTTATAACTCACTTCTGACCTTCAAATTTCTGCTGACTCTTTCCCCCCTTTTTAATTTTCCGGATATTTCCCTCTTTATTCAATTTCCCAAATCACTGATATTTATTTCCAACTCTTTTCCTCTTTCTTTCCAGATTTCCTTGTTCTCAATGGTAGTTAAAGATGGCTCCTTCTGAGGTTTGCTCCACCTCTTCTTTGTCTTTGTTGTTCATGCATCTTCAAAAAATTTAAAAACAAAGCCCAGAGTTTCACCTCGTTCTTGTAATATTTCTTTCATGTTTCCAAGTTCCATTTTTAATGCCTGAAAAGATATCACCATTTTACAGCTTTCTAGTTAGTCCAAATAGTGTCTTTAAAATTAATTTCCAACAGTCCACTTTTATTTTTGTCCTCTCAAGTTTTAATCCTCACCCAATCCAATGCCAAATCCATATCAGAACCAACAATTAATCCAAGGGTAGAATCTCCGTTTCTTTGTTTCAATGTTTCAATTTTCCAAAATTCTTTTTTGTATCAATTTCCCATGTATTTTTAAGAGAGTTTTTTTAAAGAAAACATGTTAGTTTTAACTCAGATGGCACTCTTTGTTCTGACAAGTCCACACCTCCTCTTCTTCCTTCCCGATTATTCAGAGCTTTTTAAACCACAATCTTTCAAAAAAGTCAAATCCAATTGATATTAAATTTTCTCTTTAACAATCTATAGTTCAGCTTTATCAGTGCCTATGTAAAAACAAGATATACTTATCCAAGTTGATTAGATGATTCCTCCTCCAGATTCTACCTCTCTTGGTTCGAAGCTCTGCTGCTGTCAAAGGCAATTCACACCTTTTTTTTCCTCTTTCAATTTGCTGCTTTAAATCCTTTCTTATGAATTCTTTGAAATGTTAATCCTGGGGGTAACTTCCATTTAATTATATTGTCCCGTTCCTCCTGCTGTTCACTTCTTTCATTCTCTCCTGCACACTTATTCCAGTCCAATCTTCCCCTTCAGGGTGGTCATTTTAGACCACCGCTTCAGGTGTCTTTAGGAGGGAGTAATTGCAAAGCCAGGGAGGGGATTTGAGACTTCCCTCCACCCAGTTGATGGGCGATAACACATCCAAACTTATTAAAACAAGGGAAAACTATTACTTATAAAGATGTCTTAAATGAAAATGGACAGTTAAAAACTAGACAGGACCTAAAGCAATGGGGATGGATTTAGAGTGGTGGGAATATCTACAGATACAAGCAAGGTATAAACAGGATAAAAAAGAATGGGGGATTAACATGCAAGAAACAATCAGACAAAATTATTTTGGGATCAGAGGATAAATTAATAGGGAAAATTTACAAATTTCTACTAGCCTACAAATTAGAGGAAGAACAGGTAAAGGAGACAATGGTGGTATGGGCTAGACATTTCAGGTATAGTATCAAATTGGATCAATGGCAAACAGTATGAGAAGGGAATAAAGATTGCCCTGGCCACTGCATACAAGGAAAATTTGCTTAAAATGTTTTATCGATAGCATCATCGCCAGCCAGATTGGCTAAGATGTACAAAAACCAATCCCCAAATTGTTGGAAATGCTCAATGGAATGGGGAACATATTACCATGCTTGGTGGAGCTGCAAAAAAGTGCAAAAGTTTTGGCTTAGGACGGGGAAGTGGTTGGAGGAAATGTTGGGTTTTAAATTAGATCATGTATCAGAATGTTTTCTATTAGAAATCATATCCAAAAAATACAATAAAGATGATCTATATTTGATTACACATGTTATTACTGTGACAAGAATAGCATTTGCTCAGAACTGGAAAGAGATAGACATACCAAGTGAAGACAAAATAATAAACAAAAGTCTGTTATGCGCTGAAATGGACAAGCTAACTTAAGAGATGAAAAATAAAGACGAGTCGGAATATCACACAATTTGGAATAGATTTTATCACTGGTGGGGGCAGAAAGGAAGGTCAAGTTGGGAAAAGAGTTGCTGAGAGGGTAAATGAGTGTAAGAGATGAAAATAGGACCAATGATTCTGGAAAATATAATATATGAACAAACAAATGTGTGTATATATATATAGAAAAATATATATCTATGTGATATTGACCAAAAGTTATGTCAAGCCGGTTTCACTATATTCAATGTTTTTAATTATTTTGTTCAATAAAATATTTTTTAAAAAATACATGGACCTAGTGGGATTTGTGGAATTTAGCCTTCTCCTAAATGATGATATCACAAGTATTATTCCTTTATACATTTATATTACATGCCTCTTTTTAGAAAGGCTACTGTTGCCTGTTGAGAAGAACTGCTGACATTTTCCCAGAATTCAGTGTTCCTTCCTTCCAAAGGAGATGAAAGAAGAAAAACATTTTCTTTAAAATAAGATAAAAATGATTTGACAAAAGGAATTGGTCTGTTAAATCATATTTTGTTAGATTTATTTAATTGTGTTCTCAAAAATAATGACAACTTACCTTGAACATAGAGGTGCTTTTCGTTCGATTTGCAACAACGGTAGACTGGAGTAAGAACTTCTAGGCAACAGATGTAAGTATCACTATCCTTGCTTTTTAAATTTCTGAGAGTGAATGATACCATTTCATCTGAATGGATTGGTTCACAGAATTCATTTGTTCTTTCAGAATTTTTTTCCCCATTGTCTACATAAAGAGAACAGACTTCTTGATTGCTCTTGCCCTTATACAGCTTCATATAGAAACCTTTCACATTGCTGGGCAAAGGACAAATCAAAGTAAAATTTTCTCTTGGAAATTCATCTTTGATCTGAGAATGGTTGGTGATATTCTCTGCAGAAAGAAGGAAACTGTTAACAAGCAACAAGTGAACATTGCCATGGGAAGTTAGCAGTTGTCTGCTTTGTTAACAAAGAAATATGTAGAGGAAAAACATAAGGCAAAAGAAGGAAATGGAGTAAGGTTTTTTCTAAATATCCTGCCACATATATTATTTAATCTCAGGATTAACCTGATAATGATATAGTATAAACCTTATAACTGATGCGATCAATTGCATCAACTTGTGCAATCTCATTCAATCCAACACAGGATACTTGTTTTGCAAACATTTTTCTATGCCTCCAAAATGGTTGAACTGATTGTCAGATGTTTATCCTAGGTTACTGATACTTTTTGTGCTTTTGATCTTCTTCAAAAATAAGTTGATAGGTTTTCTTTAGAATTCCAGCATTTGTGATTAGTCTTCACAAGCCGGCAGCTGACTTATCTAAGGTAGCCTTGCCAATCTATGACATCACAATGTTTAAGCAAGTAACAGCAAAAAAAAAAAAAAAAGGCATTGCAGGGACAGGGCCCATTATAGTAGCAATACAAGTAAGCAATTGGTTGCTTTTCATTATATTTCTTTTAAAAAATGAACAAGCTATCTCAGGTACTGAAACATTAGATGGCATAGAACAATATAGTAAATTCAAAATTAAACAGCAGCAAAATAATAATTTTAGAGAAACTAAAAAACTTCCCACCCATTTCAGGGAGACAACACAGATGTTACACAACCCTCAAAACATAGATTAGTCAAAAACAGTATCAACAGCAGGTCACAAATCAACTTCTAGGGCCTGGTTAAAAAGACAGGAAATGATATGTATCTCAAGACAACAGGAGAAATATTTTTATGATTCTCATTATAAAACTTGAAACATTAATCACAATTCAAGAGCAGTTAAACTGGATTAAAGTTTGATACTTGGACATAAAATTTAAATCATATTGACTCATGAGGCATTAATTGTGCAGAATTGCAAATATCAATTGTTAATTCTTGTCATACTCATTTGGATATGATGTCCTTAATTAATGTCATTAAAACATAATAAGTCATACCTGTGCAAGATGTAGTGCAGGATGAAATGGATGGACACTGGCCAACACCTAAAAATGGTATATGGAAATAGTCAAAGGCACTTGACATTTTTTAGATTACAAAAAAACCAATGTACATAAACTTTTAAATTGCATAGTAGAAATTAAGAACACAATAGTTTAAATAAATTTATCAATCATTGTAAAGTTCTCCTATAATTTTGCATATCATAAATTCTTTGAACATTATTTATATTACATATTACGTTAAAGTTGTAAATGTAAATAATATTTGCAAAAAGTTTGTAGTCAAGGATGTGTATATTATGATCAGAATTAGAATTAAAACACATTGTGCAGAGAAATCAAGAAAGGGCATGTAAGATACTGCAATACAAGTATAAAAGAGTGGGTTATGTGTCATGATATTATCATTGTGGCAATGTGGTTAGAAACCTAAAAGCAGAAGTGCATGCAAGGCAGTTGCCAATGACTGGGACTGCAGTAGGAGAATTTTTTTTAAAAATGTCTTTTTCTGTTTACCTGTAGTATATTCTGCTTGTATATATCAAGTCCTACAATTTCTTAGCTCCTTTCTAAGATTGCTTTATGGGCCATTGAGAATCCTATGTACCTGGAGTTGTACTCAACATGTAATATAGACTTCTGCTATGGAGAAAAGCTTGGTGAAACTATCAAGGCCAAATGAAAGGAGCATGGAAGTGAATGCTGTTATCCCAATTTCCTTCTCAAAGTTTAGGAATGCAAGGAAGTTTGGAGGTAACATGAAGAAAGCACCAGGCGCTCAAGAGCAAATGTGAACAGTTGACTACAACAAGATAAGAAAGCAATAACTGCTGAAACTCTAGCTCCTTGTTCAGCTGGTACATGACTCTTAACTCTTTCATGCAATTTTTTTCTCTTATCTACTTCAGCTGTCTTAGTCTATCTGTTAATAGATTTGATTAAAAGCAGAATATCAGATCTAGCGGATTCATAACTATAATGCTAAAAGCATAAATGAATTATCAAAAGCCTCTTTTTCATTTTGTGTTTCCTAAAGAAATCATAGGTCTTGCAAAACCTTAAGCATTTGTTCCAATTAATTTATAATTATTGCCAATCAATGACTGAAAAATGGTGCCTACCGCAGTCAAATGATGCTTGACTTGTTTAAAGTATAATTTAAAAAATCTGAAATGCTAATAGTAATATAGAAATAATATAATAAAGATGTGGTTTCTTATTAATTTCTAAGACTTTATAGAAATGAACCTAAATGAAGTAGCTGAACTATCACAACTATCTTCTATTCACATGCAGCACATCGTACACTGCCAACTCCTGACTTCCACACTGTTTTGAAGCACCATGGGATTACACAAAGGGTGTATTTCTTGGACAACCATCATTATTAAAATATAATCTAAACAAATTAAAGCAATACTCCAAAATATATTCACCTGGGGTAAGTCTCAGTAAATTAAAGGAGATTTTGAATTAGACTTCCTATGTAAAATGTTGGTCCTTCACACATGCAACTAGAATACTTCAGAATAATCCAGGAGTCAAAAATAGATATAAAGTAAAAAAAAAAGTAAAGCCAACTTTATCTGATATAAGCACAAGGTTGGAAACAGTTTAAAAACCAACTAAACAATATACTGGAAATCTTGTATTGGACATAGGCCTTCCATAGACAAGGAATTCCAACTGAGAAAAGTTTGTCTCTTGTTAAAATATACCTGACAAAGTTGGCAATCATTTTCTGGAGTTGTTTTTTAATATAACTTTTATAATAAATTTAAAATGATTATTATAACTCTGTTCAAAGACATTCCTATAATAATATACTAGTGGATACAGTTTTAGTAAACTAAACAATGGCACATAAGAAATATCAACAGATAAATTTGGTCCTATAGCTAGAGAATGATTCAATTTTTCATAGTGTAAATGCCTGTTCTTTACCGTACTTCAGGGTGATTGCTTCTAAACATTTCTTATGCAGTCTTTAAACTCAATAAAATCACAACCAAAGGAAATTGCTGTCAACAGAACCTGCCATATCACTTACCATGCAAAGCTTCAAAGCAGCAACACAAAAGACAGAAAGCCACAATGCCTATTTTCATATTCACGAACCTAGATGCTAAAATTAATGTTTTGTACTGTTAAGGAACAAAGTTTTATCTTGAAGAAATGATGGTGCTTCTCTGTCTTTTTAGATTCTCAGTAGTAGAAAAGATCACTGTTTTTGTTAAAAATTATTCTGTTCTTTGTTTAAATTCCACATGTAGAAATATCTATACATCACCCTGAAATGTGTGATTTATCTCAAGAGTTGGTTTTCCCCGGTTTTTATTTCACTGAAATGATCATCTTTTTCCTGTCTCAGTTTATTTCAATGAATCAGAATTTGAAACTAGTTCCAGTTTAATCTGAGCTGACAGAAATCAAGCCAATGATAGCCTTTGATATGCTGAACTTTTTCTTCACATTAATGCTGAGTTAGAAAAATAGAGGCTGGGCTGAAAGAGGAAAACTACAACACACTAGTCCTAATAATTAGAGGTCAATGGTCTGTGAATTATTTTGACTTTATTCATTTCAACATTTAGTAGGGTTTTTTTTTTCTATATTTGTTTGGAAAGCCATTTTTTTAGTTATATACAATAATTTAAGACTTGAATTAGAAAGAACAAAAAAGATCTCAGCACCATGCAATAGAATGAGCTCTCAGAGTATAGTCATGCTGGCCGTTTGACCATGGAAGTGTCTTCATACAACTCTGCCACCTTGGCTAAAAAACAGAGATGAACACCACCAACTCCTAGAGTCAGACACAACTGGACAGGAAAAACTTTTACCTTTACTTCTAGAAAGAACAGAAATCTATTTCTTGCTCTTTCTGATATACCTCAATAAACTGGAAATTTCCATGGATTTTTATAAGCAGCTCTTGTTATCTATTCCAGAAAACATTTTAAAATTTGTGTTTCTTAACTAAAACAGGAAGTTACCTATCATGATAGCAGTGTTGACCTTTTCCCCCTGAGAATTACCAAGTTTCCTGAGTTTATACTAAAGAGAATTGGTTTGCACTACAATGAAAACAAGGCCTAACAACATCCTAAAGTGAGCAGATGAGTTCTTCATACAAGAAAGTTTAGGAAAAAATAAGGACCAAATACTAGATCTAAGTATAAATACAATCATAGGGAATGAGGCAAGTTTTTGGACAGCTGATAATCAGAATACACAAAGTCAAGACAGTTTTTTTCAGTACTGGATCACCTCCACCAACCATTTTCATATCACAGGCTTCAAGGTCATGCCCTAAACGAGATGGACTGCACTGACTCAATTAAGACTGTCTATTCAACAGCCATAGTGATTTGTGAATCAATCACTTTCCCTCACATGTGTTCCTCTTTGAGTTTTGACCCAGAATTTTCTTGGAATATGCAAGGCACATAGAAGTAGGTCACTAGGAAAAAAAAGAAATACAAGAAATTCTGATGTGTTTAATTTGGGAAATTAATAGTTTACATTAACTATGTAACTTTTTAAAATAATTTAACAATATGCAAAATGAAAAAAGGAATAAACCAAAAATAGAGATAAAAAAGGAAAATATAGCAGAATCTGGTTTACAACAATATTCAATATACTTTTATGTTGTGCCTCCGAGGTTTGAACCAGGTCAGTCAGCAGATGTAGGCTCGAGTGAGGAGGAAGATCTGGCATTGAGATTTGAGCCTGCATTGCTGAGCAACGTTGAGAGGAGTCTGGGGGAAGAGGAGTTGAATCTGAGAGATGAGCCTAATTTGTTAGAAGTTTCAGAGACATCTTCCTCTTCTGGAGCTCCCTCCCTGATTGCACCTCAGTGTCATGTTTGAGAATCCCATTAAAAGTCAAACTGTGGCCAGACGCTTGAAGGACATTCATCAGGGGAAACGTCCTTTACAAGAATTCATTGCAGAGTTTCATCTGCTCTTCATGGACTCTACTTGGAATGAGTTAGCCCACATCGATGCCTTTCAGGAGGGCTTGGCTGATGACATCCAGGATGAGCTGGTGCATGCAGAGTGGGCTCTAACCCTGGATGCCTTGGTCATACAATGTCTACGTATTGATGCCCAGCTTCATCAATGCAAGAGCAAACAACCAGTTCTGGAACCGCCCTCTCACTCATGGCCACAACCTCCAGTACAACCCGCACCCTTGGTATCCCACAATACTGTAACCAGGACCGAGGAGCCGATGGAGTTGGGTGCACTCCGCCTGTGGTTGACGGCGCAAGAATGCTCGCAAAGGTTCCAGGGAGGTTTGTGCCTTTATTGTGGGGGGCCAGGACATTTTGCCAGTTCTTGTAAATGGAGGGGGACATGAAGACCAGTGCCGGAATCGAATCCTGGGCCGTCGGAAAAACGGGGTAGACTCAACCTCGGGGAAACCTTAGGTCGGGCACGTATCTCACCACCACCTGAAGTGGCTGAGGTGAACCCTGGCCCTCTCCAGCATTTACTTTTGGGCAGGCAGGATTTCCTACAGCCCCAGAAGGAGGGGATTCCTGCGGTTGCATTGGTGGACTCAGGGGCTATGACTAGTTTTATGGACCGGGCCTTCGCAACTCGCTTTGATGTCCCTTTGGTTGCTGTGGAACCACCCATCAAGGTGGAAACCATTGACGGGAGTGAGCTTAGGTCGGGGCCCATTCGCTTTGCTACCCAGCCACTGCGTTTGGTTATCGGAGACCACAAGGAGGTGATTAGCTTCTATATCACCTCGGACCTCCATCTCCCTTTGGTTCTCGGCATGTCCTGGCTACGATTGCACGATCCTTTGGTGGTTTGGGCGCAGAATGCCATTTCCTTCCCAAGTCTCCAGTGCGTGGATCATCTGAGACATATCTGCGCTGGCCAGGACATCGCCGCCCCCGCTGTTTCCATATCACCGGAGCTATCAGACTTCTCCGACATTTTCAGCGAGAAGGAGGTGGATCAGTTACCACCGCATCGAGCCTATGACTGTCCCGTGGACCTTCTACCTGATGCTCCATTGCCCAAGGGTCGATTATATTCCATGTCTGAGCCCGAATTGGCTGCTCTTCGAGAGTTTCTGGATAAGAACTTGGCCTGGGGATATATCAGACCATTGTCCTCTCCTCTTTCTGCTCCTGTTCTTTTTGTGAAAAAGAAGACAGGGGAGTTACATTTCTGCTGTGACTACCACCGGTTGAATGCCATCATGGTAGAAATCGTTATCCCTTGCCACCCATTCCAGAGTTGATGGAGCGGTTGTGAGAGGCCACTGTTTTCACCAAGCTCGATCTTCGAGGGGCCTACAACCTGGTGCAGATGCACAAGGGGGGAGAGTGGAAGACGATGTTTGGCACCCGATACGGACATTTTGAATATATCGTAATGCCGTTTGGGTTGACCAACGCTCCCAAAGTTTTCCAGCACTTAATGAATGACATTTTATGGGACATGCTGGATCATACCTGGGTGACATGGTGGTGTACCTGGATGACATTTTGATCTACTCTCGGTCCAGGGATAGCCACCTTTGCCAAGTCCATCAGGTATTACGACATCTTCGGGAGCATAAACTCTATGCGAAGCTGGAGAAATGCCTCTTTTTCCAGACTTCCGTAGAGTTCTTAGGGCATATCATCTCTCCTGAGGGCATTGCCATGGACCTGAGGAAAGTAGAGGCCTTGTATAGTTGTGAACCCCCTCGTCGAGTAAAGGACATGCAACGTCTCTTGGGGTTCGCTAATTACTACAGGACCTTCATCCCAGACTTTGCCAAGCTGATGGATCCTGTCACCCAGCTCCTTCACAAGAAGGTCCCGTTCCAGTGGGGGCCCCCACAGCAACGGGCTTTTGAGGCTCTAAAGAAAGCCTTCATTGCCGAACCTATATTGAGGCATCCTGATCTGAATCGTCCATTTGTGGTCGAGACAGATGCCTCCAACATAGCTATTGGGGCGGTGTTGCTACAAGCCCCAACGGATGGCGCACCTTTTTTCCCGTGTGCATATTATTCAAGGAAGTTCACAACTTCTGAGCGCAATTATACCATTTGGGAAAAGGAGTTGGTGGCCATCAAGGCTGCGTTCGAGACCTGGCGACATCATCAGGAGGTGGCTAGGCACAAGGTGGAGGTTCGGACAGATCACCGTAACCTAGAACATTTGTCCACTGCCAAGAAGTTGAACCAACGACAGATCTGGTGGTCATTGTTCTTTGCTAGGTTCAACTTTTCAGTCACATACGTTCCCAGTGGACAAAATTGGAGAGTGGATGCCCTATCTCGTAAACCCGAGTACCATAGTCCCGAGGACCCTCTTCCTCCATGTATGATCCTGCCACTGGAAGCTTTGGCTGTTATTCAGGACCTGGTGGATTTGAGGGCTCGAGTAAGAGAGGCGCAGCACGTAGACGCTTGATCACAGCAAAGAATGGGAGAAATTGGACCTGACTCCCCATGCTCTAGAGGAGGGCTTGCTACAGCATCGAGGACTATTGTACGTACCCACCAGGATGCTTAGAGCCATCATCATGACTCAATGTCATGACAATCCTGCTGCTGGCCGTTTTGGCTTCTTTAAAACTCTTCACCTTGTCACACAGACTTTTTGGTGGCCAGGGGTCCGACATGACATCTTTTCTTACGTCGCCTGTTGTATGACGTGTCGACAAGCAAAGGCCATGTTGGGTGCGCCTCCTGGACTCCTTCAACTGCTGCCGACTCTGGGTAGACCATGGGGGGGTGATCTCCATGGACTTTTTGATGCACTTGCCCTTGTCATTGGGTTATACGATGGTACTCATGGTGGTTGACATGCTCACCAAGATGGCTCATTTTATCCCTTGTCGGAAGTTGCCATCGGCCCATACTACTGCCCAGTTATTTCTGCAGCATGTTTTCCATTTACTTGGTCTGCCGGACAGGGTGGTTTCGGATTGCGGTGTCCAGTTTACCGCTCAGTTTTGGAAGAACCTCATGATGGCATTACAAGTGCAGGTGTGTTTGGCGTCGGAGCACCATCCGGAGACTGATGGCGGGACTGAGAAAGTTCTTGGCATCCTCACTCAATATCTGAGATGTTTTGTCAACCATC